CAGTAGATAATATCAGCTAAGACTTCCAGTAAGATTGTGGTTAGGTATCTCTTCCAAATCATATTTACAACACAATCCTATGAATGTCTACTCAGAAGTTACACCTGTTACGTTCAATGGGATTCACTCCCAGGGAATTATGTGTACAAGTACAGTCTCCAGTGAGAAAGAAAACCACATACATTTTGATGTAACTCGCTACTCTAAAAGTGAAGCTAGGAATCCAGGTTTGGATCCAGATTCAGAACGTACCCACTGAACTCAAGGGAACTTATTCTTAAGCATGAGTAAAACCCAGGATCCAACCCATGATATCAGGGTCACAGTCTGGTAGGGGTACTGATCCCCAAAACAAAGGATTTACTGGAAAACAAAGCACTGATTAAGCCAGACACCCCCCCCCCCCCCCACTATAGAATCGTCCTCGCTGGGGATCGAGCCCAATATTTTGTATGCTCACTACAAAAACGATTCAAGCCGGCCTATCACACCGATAGGACAGACTCTTTAGGTTTGCAGAAGTTGCTTTAGTGCAAGCTCTTCGTGCTTTCCTCGAGGCCATTTTTCCTCCAAGGCAGCTGTAGGAAATTCTCCTCTCTCATTCATTAATTTCCCTCTCGGATTACCTAACCAAATAGCTGCTGCAGCCTTTTAGCCATTAGCACCAGCCAGGAGGCGAGAAGAGAGCGAGATCCTGCTCTTGGCCCCTCTCTTGCTCGCTGCGGAGCGGTTATCGGGGGGGGAAGGGGAACACGGGGAGGGGTTGCGGATAAGGCGACTGAGAAGTTCAGGCCTGACCTCAGCAGGAACTCTGCAGATAGAGCGCTGGGAGGGCGGCGGGGGGAGCGGAGAAGAGCCGCGTCTCTCTCTGCCAGGCCAGCCCGGTTCCCAGCGAGTCGCCGGCCGAGAGGGCCGCGCTCCCGAGAGCGGAGAGGCCTTATCAGGCTCTCCGCTCCAGCCCGGCGATCTGGGGCCAGGGCTGCTGACATCCCAATCGGCCATCAATTTACCTTCCACCGCCCCGCTTCCCCATTTAGCTTTTAACGTCAAAAGCTACATTTTTGTCGGCTCCGGCCTGTCTAGGGCTCTTGCGATTTAGCTCCAGGAATGATTGCTCCTGAGAAAATAGCAACAGCCCCATTACCGAGCAATTAAAAAGGATCTTTCCCCCTCCCCTCCCCCTCTCCCCCGTTCATGCTCTCTCCTAGCTCTCTTAGCCTGCCCGCCATCACCTTTCAGTGGGTCGGGTGCGGGGGGGGTGGGGGAATATTTAAAAGCCAAAAGCCCTATTGATCATCTTGTGTGTGGGAATGGGGCAACGCCAGCCAGCCATTCACCACCCAATGTCTGCTTATTGAGGCTGAGATCCTAAGTTATGCTTACTTGGAAATCAGCCAGCTCTTCTTTCACCCAATGGTTGTTAGGGTTTGTGGGGGACAAGGGAATGGTATCTCAACATCTGAGGAACAAATCTAAGGGTCTGGTCCCATCAAAGACTTTAGGGCACAATCTTGAGAGTTTAGACAGAAAAAGGCCTGGAACTCCCAGCACAACCAAGTCACTTGCACCGGGAGTTGTAGGCCTTTTTTCTATATAAACTTGCACAGGATTGTGTCCTTTAGGGTGTAATGCTACCTCTGCTTAGGCAGAAAAAGTCCTACAACTTCTAGCATTCCCCTGCAAGAGATGTAGGACTATTTTTCTGCCTAAACAGGCACAGGCTTGTGCCCTAAAATGCTTTAAAACACATTAGCAGAACAATTTTCTTAGCATTGGCAGCTTTATTTGCTGCATGGTGCAGTAACTCAACCAGTATCAGCGCTTACTAAGAAGTCAGTCCATCAATTTCATCATTATTACCCAAGTTGCTGTTCCGCATTTAAGTGATCCCAGGACTGCAGCCCCCAAATTACCAATCCCCCATTTTGGTCCCTTTTGGATTCTATAGTATATTTCAGTTTTTCCTGTATGCAAACCTGAATCAAGGACAGAACCTGTTCTCACACTGATGTCTCAGCTGCCTTACCCACACTATTGAATTATTGGCCCCTCTGCCAATTCTTGGAAGTCTTTCCCCAGGATGGCCCTGAGCCTTAATCCCACCAAATTAAGTTTGGAATGGCGGCATGGTGGAGGGTGCCTGTGAACCACGGAGTGAGGGAAAACCTGGGTCGAGGGAGTGTAAATTAACTTTGTGCAGGTTTCAGTTGTATCTGCTGCTTAAGAAGGAGAGTTTGAGTAGGAAATAAGTGTGGGAGAGATCTCTTTTCTTTGCTAAATTGGGAAATATTTCTTCCTTCCAAAAAAGAAAAAGACATAAAAACCACCAAAACAAAAATCAAATCTCCTCTAAACACTACAAATCTTGGACATAAACTTGGCTCTTCTACAGCACTGTATAAAAGAGTTGCATTTTTCGAAGAATAAAAATACAGTACACTGATTGCACAAGAAAAACTTGTGCAGTTGGGGTCTGTGCCAGGAAACTAGGAACAGACACAAACAAGCCACAATGGAGGAGGGGTTAGCCTTGCATCCAATGTTAATCTAATCCAAAGGGCGATCCTGTGCAAGTCTCCTCAGGCACAAGGTAGCAACCTTCCCCTAGGCCTTACTGCCAGGCTTACACAATGAATGGGTCTCCTCTAAGCAGGACTAGCATTGGATACAACCCCTCAGTAGTTGTGCGATCTGGAGTCATTTCTTTCTCTAGCCAGAGAAGAACTTAGAAATCTGATAACATGATAATCATTCACAGAAAGCTACTGGTGTGTGCGGTGGAGGGATTGTATCCACCTCCTCAGCAGCGGGAACTAGAAGGAAAACTTTGGAAAAGGGGGTGTCCTTTCGAAGGCAGGCGTGCCTGTAAACACAGCGACCCGGGCCAGCCCGGCCCAAGCCGCCTGACCCCGAGACGGGAAGAGGGCACATCATGTTGGCCTGGTTGTTCTAACCTCGCAACCTCCCTGTTGTCAGGGAGGCCTGGGCAGCGCTGTACAAGAGCGTGCTTATCTTTTTATGGGCAGCTGGAGATCTACCTTCTCTCGTGGTCAGAGCCCTCTGGCCCGGCTGGAGCAAGCCACTCAAAAGGGGGCGGGCGCCCAACCTGGATGCCGTCCCATTTAGGCAGCGAGTCCGGCGTGCTCGCTACATGAAAGCGAGTTTGAGAGAAAGGACAGATGAAAAATCTTCTCTCTTAACCCGACTGAGACCCCACCGAGCTTCCTCGGGGCCAGCTGGACTCCTTGCAAACCAGGGGTGGCTTCGACCTCACTCCGGCAGCCCCAAGATGCCGTTAGTGCTCAATCGAGCGATAAAAAGATAAGCATCGATCAGTATCCGCCTTATCAATCGATACATTACATGCTGAATCCCTAGGCTTAGGAAATATAAAGAAATTGGCTTAAGAAAGATCTGTTGCGCGCGCGCACACCCCCACCCAGGGGAGATAATTCAAACTAAGCGATCCTAGAACGGGTCCGTCCTAACCCTTCAGTCCAAACGCAGTCCACGTCCTTTCCGAAGCGGCTTCGCTTAAGAAACAAACGCGATCGAAGCCTTAGTCAGATTCAAGGGAGGCGGGGAGACCGATAGACCTGGAGGGGTGTCTACTCCACCCATCAGGGTTAGGTTCGGAGTTTCCACCAGTCTAACTCGCATTCCTTTGCCAGAGTAGTTTCTCCTTTAAAGCCATGTATTTATTGATTGAATACTTCTTCCTGCGAGTTGGAAGACTGCAACCCGAGCGAGTTTGGGCGAACTCGGTGAGGTCACTATACCTCACTGTAAATCTTGCATCTCTCCCCAACCCATCCCCCATCCCTTCCCTAAATCCCTCGCCTTGTTCTCTGCTTCGTACTCGAGGAGGCAAAATTACTTGTTACATAATCACTTCTACCAAGGCTTGCGAGTGTCTTTGGCCTGCCCCAGCCAAAGCGCTAGGGCGGGTCCAGGTTGGAGTCCGCTTCTTACGGCTTTCTGCAATATCCCGAGTATAAGACGCAGCGAAAACAGTGGATCCAGTAAGTATGAAGTACGTGTCACGTTAGCTTCCGTCCACAGTTCCCTCCCTCTTTCACAGCCAAACACCTTGAGAAGCTCACTGTAAATGGCTAGGGCTTCTGGAAAAAGAGACCGTCTCTCTGGCTCCTTCTCTCTTTCCCTCCTCATTCCCCGACAGAGAAAACAATGCAAAGCTCGTCTCTGACTCGCTCCAGCGCAAACTACTGCTGCATTTAGACACGAAGAAGCAGCGTTCAGCCGAATGCGAACGCTCCGGACCCCTTGATTTCAGTGGGATTTCTATGAAGAATCCCTGGTTAAGAGGAAAGCCAAAAATCTCAGAAATGACACCCCACTTCTTTATCGCTCCTTCCGCTTCGAAACGGTAAAGAAAGTTCTCTTTTGCTTCCCCGGGGAGAACCTGCACTCAGAATAGATGAGCAACGAAAGCGCTACAGAGTTCAGGGTCCTTTCCCAGGTAGCCCTCCAAAGGATCACCTTTTAGATGTCACCTTGATCATTCCCCTCCAAATATTATGCATACCACAACCTCTCTGTCTCTGTCTCTCGGAGAGATTGTGTTTAAAAAATTTTTTTGAGACATAAAGCGTCAGATTTGCATTTAGTAAAAAAAAAAAAACCCAAACACACAGTGGTTTATTGAATACTTACAGCATTTACACCTTTCAATATTAATTCAACTCCACGGATTATTATAATTATTATTTTAATTTTAGGTTTTGCTTCCTTAGGGAGGACCGAAGTGCACATTAACAAAGAGCTGTTCGAACAATCTCTTCCGACCATTGAGCGACCACAAGGAAAAGGCAGAACAATGAAGTCCCATCTCAGCGCAAGACACAGCAATCTCGGGGAGGGATAGGCGGGGGGGGGGCGGGGGCGGGGGCGGGACGGGACTGTTTTGATCTGAGCTTCCCATCCACATGTTCATCCAACAGGGCAAGTATTAAACATATACACTTCACATAACACACTAATGCCTTCAAGATTATTATTATTATTATTATTTCGTCCCGTGTGTTCTATACAAACAAAGCAAAATAACATTCATGGGAGGGGGAAAATAACTAGCGAGACCACACGATCCCTTACCACGCCGGAGTTTTCCTCTTCATATATTCAAATATGGAATGCTTTTCTTCCAAAGATCCACATTTTGAAAGGGGAGACTAGGGGAGGGAAATTGCACATAAATAAACCAGACGATTCCAAACAAGAAATAAAAGATGTCCCCAGCTCAGCAACCTCTCCTGAAGTTCCAGCGTCCTCCAAGACATTATTTCCTCCAGTCCTCGCCGCGCTCTCACTGCTTGAGCTCCAAAGCCCACACGTGCTGCGGCCAGCCAGTTCTCCCTTTGGTTTTCTTGTCACTGCTGCTAACTGTGCTTTTCAGAATTTCGTTCTGTTTGGGAAAGGAGGCGAAGAGGAGAAACAAAGAGATTATCGCCCTGCGGTTTCTGGGTCACCTCCTCCCGCCAGCCTCACCTTCGGGGCACAAGGCAGGGAAACATGCCTCGCTCACTTCTGGAGCCGCTTCGCGCGTAGTTCAGGACTGCCCAGCTCTCGCTGAGGCCTCCCGACCGTAGATCGAACCGCAGGCTTTGCCTAACTCTCTCCGGCTGCAGGCGCCCGCAAAGCGGCGTGTGCGCCCTGTGGGGAGGGGGCTTTTCAGTCTTACACAAAAGCTTTTCAGTCTTACGCAGTCTTGCACCTTCTGAACGAGCCTGGGCTGATTCGCAAAGCGCTTGGCGCTGCGGTAGGACCACATACCCCGGAGTACAGAGCACTGAACCCAGGGGAACTTCCGCGTCAACGTGGAGGTAGATGGCAAGCGGGATGGCTCTCTGAAGCGGATCACGAAGAGCGAAGTGCCTTGGAAAGCGAAGCTCTGGGTTCTCCCTCCCTCTCGTTATGAGGGGTATGCCCACGGCTCCGGGTTAAGCGATTTCAGAACCGGCATGATAGAGCCGCAGGTCTGAGCCAAACAGAGCATCAACCGAGCCGCCCGCTCATATTGTGTGTGTGCGCGCACTCATGCGTGTACACACACAAACACACGCACGATGACTCACCAACACCTCCCCTTAAAAACAAAAGCATCTACGGAAACATATTGTAGAGGGACTGTATAATTTCTCCGAATGGCAGGTTCAGACAAATTCCCTGTGACTCTTGCTATGAAATGCATGTATTGTGGAACACACGCCTGAGTCAACATGCAATTTCCCTTCCCATTTTACTTCGCATCCATGCAGTCATTCCCGCCCTCCTCGCAGCACATCTGTATATTATTCACACAAACACTGCATAGAAAACTGATTTCTATAACTTTGTGGATACACGAGCTCCATATGCTTAGCCAAGCTGATTGTAAATGGCTAGATCATGACTAAGAATAAATCTTTGGAAGCTTGGGATGGCGGGGGCTTAATGGGCGGGGGATTCCCCTCTAAGAGCACAGGAAGCCCCTCCTGCAGCCTTCCTGCTTGTCCAAGAAAGTCTGTTCCAAGTCTGTACCACCACCCTCAACGCCACAAATTAAAGAATGGATGGTTGAGCAGGGTATAAAAGGCTTACTCCAAGGCAGATCCCTGAAAAAATTGCGGCGCCCCGATCATAAACACTTCTGCCTCGGAAACCACATTCCATGGGTTTTGGACCTAGCTTAACAGGTTTAGGGCCCAAACTTCACGGACTGAGCCCAAACAGGTATAGGGTGCAAGCTATGCCGGGAAATGTAGGGCCTTTTTTCTGTTTCAACATGCAGAGGACTGCAGCCTTACAATATCCATTGAATAATATTGCATATGAGTGGGATTTGAGCCCCAAAATAATCTTAGTTCCTTTCCTTAGTTCGGTGGGATCTTTTTCTTTTTGTGTATAGTATATACTCAGATTCTTTTTGACCCCAGTCTACAGTGCTCCACCTTTCCTACGGTCACACATTGCACTATTGCATTTCCAAATAGCCCATTGTTTTCAATGGAAGATACTTCCTAAGGCTTAATCTCACTGCCTGAAAAAATGTGTGGAGGTTTAGTTGGGAAAAGAAAATGTATTCCGAGTGTTTGAGTTCAGGATTGTTCGCATGATTAACCATTCTAATGCGAATTGAGATTCAAAGTCCTGCAGAGAATATTGTCTTCCCAGTCATCCTTCTCAAACATATTTAAGGAAGAACATCAGCAGAAAATTTGAGGTTATTATAACCTGGTTTCCCCATGTGATTAATTAGGTTTTACTCTGTAGGTTAATTCTTGGCTTCCAAGAAGATAAAAGGTCGGATATTTTGAATTATTGGTAGAGGAAGGGGCCGCCCCTTAACAGGCATTTGAACGGTAGACTGTATCCTGCATTAAGCGAACTGGTGCGCACACGGAGAGAATCGAGGTCCCTGGATTATCTCCGAAAAGGGGTGATCGTTGGAATTGAGTTGAGATCAGATCTATTGGATCTGAATGCTTCTGCGCGAATGTGTAACTAGGGTTTAGCAAAGCCCTCAGTACTGCAACACATGATTTGCAGATTTCAGCGGCGAGGAAGAAGAAACCCGAACACACCGGCCGGTGTCATAAATCCGAAATCTTGCAACTGGGTCTGCAGTCTGGGATTGCGTCACTGAAATGCCACTGATGTTGTGGGACTGCTTACCCCTCCCCTATCCCAGAAAATGCCTTTTGAGACGATTCATAGCCCCCCCCCGCAAGTTTTTGGACGGAACTCAGGATCTCTGCGGGGCTTTGCCGACTGGGGGATCAATCCACGACTCCCTCATTACAAGGCGTTCCTTTCCTTTTGATTTTAAAGGCAGCGCTGCGAAATTTGTGAGTTGTGGACTGTAAAACTGACAGCTTCATCCACGGACTGGAGCGAGGACATTTCCGGTCCGACCCGAGACTGGGTAAGAGCGAAATCCATGAATTTAATCGGGCATGAATGTTTGTCGTTGACATCCACGGGCCGAAACAAGAGCGAGAACGGCCGGTTGTCTTCCCACTCCCAAGACCGCAGCCACTCGGATCACAAAGAGTTTCTCTCTCCGCCCCCATCCCCACCGCCAGGAGATTCCTCTTTAAGCAGGCCTCTTTGCATTTCCTTGAGATTCCCTGGAAGCGCGTTTAGGATCGAGATGGGCAAGGACGCTCCGGGACTGCTTCGGTCTTACTTGACCTAATGTTTGTTGCGTGGATCCCTGCCTATAATGCCTTCATGGCTGCAGCGATCCTAAAAGCTCTTCCTTCGAAATAGGAGCGCGTTCACCGTCAATGAACGAGGTTTAATTTCCAAGATCATGCGTACCCCAAGAAAGCCTCAAACGAAAACAAACTGCACTAAACTCAGTGGGGAAATTCACCAATTCAGTATTTTTCGAAGGGCCCCTGCAGTTTATACAGCAAATGGTGAAGGCGCAGGGGACGGATATAAACTTCTTCCTTTGATACCGCCCCCTGAGGCCTTCCCTATACTTTCTGATTAATGATTATTAATAACAATGATAATATTAATAATGAGCGGTATAGTAGACCTTCCTTTCAAATAGAGGGGCGTGACTATGTATCTAGAATCGACTAGTTCCCAAACCTATTGTCCTTCCATCTAGAAACATGCGGACCGAAAGGTCGCTGCGAAAGCAAATTACGCGTCGGACAGAGCACTACTGGACAGAACCCCAGCTCGGTTCTGGGGAAAGTAATGGGATTTCTGGGACAAGAGGTCGTGTTTAAACGGGAGTGTGGGAGGCCGGGGACTCCACTGCCTTTAGAATACTTCCCTGGAAATAAGGCCGGCTGAAATCAGTGTCCCAACACAGCCCCTCTCACATTAAACGTCCCCCCGTGAGCGAAGCTGCACGCTCCTCGAGGGCTTGGCACTCGTTCAGTTCACACGGCTCCGGTCCGCGGAACTCGGTTCCAGCGAGGAGCGCTTAGACGCTGCTTTTCCGTGCAACAAGCCCGAGCGCCAAACGCGAGTTCTAGCTCGGCAGTGGAAGATCCCGGCCGCCGTGGATGCTCCAGGGCCTTCCTTCACCGGCCGCGAAATGGGATAAGCCATCCCCGTCGCTTCGCCTCCCCCACCCGCGGCTCCTTTCCCGCGTGGGGCCCTGTCCCGCGCGCCCGGGACCTGCCCTGGCAGCTCCGCCGCGCGTTCCCCACCGGACGGAGGCGGGCCCAGCCGCGGGGAGGAACAGCCCGTCCCCTGCGGTCCCGGGGCGCACCTCCAGGGCTGCGCTCGGTCTCCCAGGCTCGGAGGACGGCGGCCCGAGTCCCTGCGGCGCGCCCTGGAGGAGGCCGGCCTACCCGTCCCCGGCGTCGGGGGCTGCGCGCCGCGCGCCCTCCCCGCTCCTCCTCGCGCCACCCTCCCCGGACCGGCGGCGGCGGCGGCGGCGGCGGGCGGCGGCGGCGAGCACTACTGACCAGCTCCTTCTTCCTCTTGTCCTCCTTGACGTCGGTCTTCTTGATCTCGGCCTTGAAGGCCTCGGCCTCGCCGTTGGCGTCGTCCTTGGCCAGCAGGTCCATGAGGTAGGCGATGTAGCTGGTGGCCAGGCGCAGCGTCTTGATCTTGGAGAGCTTCGTGTCCGCCGGCACGTTGGGGATGCACTCGCGCAGCTCGGCGAAGGCGCTGTTGATGCTCTGAGTCCTGCGCCGCTCCTTGCGGTTGGCCGTGCCGCGGCGCTTGACCGGCCGGGGGCCGCCGCCGCCGCCGCCGCCGCCCCCCAAGCCCGGCGGCCCGCCGCCGCTGCCCGGGGGCGGCACGCCGCCCACGTAGTGGTGCGGGTGCTCCAGGCCCGCCGCGCCGTTGGCGTACTCGGGGCTGTAGGAGAGCGCCATGCTGTAGTCGGGCGGAGACATCTCCGAGGGGTGGCTGCTGATCAGCCAGCCGTGGAAGTAGGGGTTCTCCTCGTGGCTGCAGCGACTGGCGGCGGCGGCGGCGGCAGCGGCGGCGGCGGCGGCGGCGAACGGGTAGCCCTCATGGTGGACCACCGGATGGTGGGGGAAGCCCCCCACCAGGCTCATCGCCGGGCCCCCGGCCGCCCACCACCCCCGATCCTGTCCCCTGGATCTCAGCTCCCGAGAAGACGGGCCCCCGCCTTCGGCTGGCCTTAGCACAGGGCGGTCGCCATGGGGTGGGCGCTGCAGAGTCCCCGGAGCCCTCCGAGGGCAGGATCAGGGCCTCCCTCGGCACTCATGCGGAGCAGCAGGAGCGGGCTGAAGCTGGAAGTAACCACCCAATCCAGCCAGGGCAGGGGGCGCAGCCCCCCTCCCTCAAAAGAGGAGCCCTCCCCCCACGGATAGGTTCGAGCTTCACTGGCTGTCCTTGCTTTGCTTCTTCTCGGCTTTGATGGGGGGAGGGCGAAATAAGTGGGCGCGGAGGGAGGGATGTTTACTTACACCTGCATTTTCTCCGCAAGCCCCCACTCGGCCGAACCGTTTCCCCAAGGTCTGTCCACTTGCTTCTGCTCCCTGCACGGGAAGCGACTCGCTCGCTCGTTATATCATGAAAGATCCCAGCATTTTCCCCTGGCTTAGCGTGGGGGACTAGAACCCACAGAGTCCACCCCTCGGGGAAATCCGAAACTTTCTATTCCTATGGAGGAGCTGCTGAGAAGGATGATGACGACTGTGAAGAAGATGGTGGTGACGAAAAGGGGCAAAAAGAGAGGAATGGAGGAAAAAAACCAGTCGCGTTCAGGATTGCTTTCCAGATTCGGAGGTGCGTAGAGCGCTGGTCGAATTTCCCAGCCTGATCTCCATGTACAGCTACATCTTTAGGGCAGCTCGGGTTAATATATGTCGTCAGAGGTTCTCTCGGCCAATCGGCGACGTCGGGGGCGGGGCTCAGCGCTCTGGGCCATAAAACTTTTTTTTGATCTTCGCGCTGCTAATTGTTCGGCTTCTCTTTTAGGATTGGCTGCCGTTCCTATCCATAATATAATTAAAACAAACGAGGGAAAGGGTCCCCCCCTTCCAGCACCGACAGAGGTTAATGCAAGTATTTAACAATGCTTTGCTGTAAGTATGTCTATGCATGCCGATATTTTGGTTGCTGAAATAGACAGATCGACAGATAGATAATCTAAAATTGCTTATAAATTCGGCTGTACTCTAGATTGCAATAACCTGCATGTATTTCTATAGTGTATGCTGTACTATAAGACCATATTGACTGCCGAAAGTGGTAACAATAGATAATGTGGACGATCAATTTAGTTACATTACATATGTTTACATGCATAATTCTTAAAGAAAAATATTGAAGTGGGACAATATCAGAAAGATTCTTCGAACTGAGATTAGCATTTATTACAGCTTGGAAGTAAACTCCTTTGAAATGAATGAGATGCACTTCCAAGGAAAATGAATTCAGAATCTGAGTGCCACTTAGAAATTATCAGAAATTATCTAACAAAATATTCTTACAGTAGACTATAGTAATGCATTTGCTCCTTTCATCCACTTTGGTCCATTCAGGAAGACTTACAGCCAAGATCTATTGGCTTGTTTATGATTAATCTGGTCTAAAAAGCTTGTTACATGTGGTATATATGGCAAAATTAATGCTCCAAACTAGGAATTGGATGGTGTTGCTTGCAAACCTTTGCTTCTTACAGACACAAACAAATCCATTGCTCAAATGGATGAGAAAGTAATCTTTCAAGAATAATTATGTTTTTCTTTTCCAAAGCAAAATGATGACATCTGAATCCTTTTCTTTCAGTTCTGTGGGTATTCACACGCTCCCTGCCTGAAATAAGTTTCCCTTCGACTTAAGCAGCTCAACAGAGTAAGTAACCAGATCTTATTAACAGCATGTTATGTTATTTTCCCGTTTAGGTTAACAAAGATATAAATATCTCTTTGCATTTTTCTTATTTTGCTATAAAATCACTGCTGCCTATAATAATAGTAATAACTGATCAAAATGCCAAGGCATCATGAAGAAAACAGGTTTCACTTAGGGAGGGGGAGTAATTAAAGAAAGGTTTAAAGGCTGCCCGCTGAAAGCCAAGAGATATAAAAACTTTTGTGCCTGTGAGATGTTGAACACATTCTAACAGGAAAAGGGATTCCAACCTGCTTTTCATTGAGAAATTGGTAACTGGAGGTAAGAAACGGAGCAAAGAGTTTCCTGTTGCCTTCCCCAAAGAAGACTCAATAGCTGGGCATTTTTTTTCCAGCCTTGGCAAGAGGACTGCTGGATTTGGAGTAGATTAACATGCAGTTCCAAAAATTGTGGGGAAATCACGTTAACAAACCCCCCAGACCATGAATCCATGAGTGAAATGGGACTTTACTTCTTGCTGCTTCTTTGGCTTAAACCTGAACACTCACAGTTTGCAGATCTCAGGCACAAGCCCTTCTGAGGAATCCAGGTAAACTTTTCATGGGTACCTGATGCTTGGAGAAGAAATGTAGGGACAAAGTTAAGGGTGTCTTTGGAGCATTCAAAATATGTTGCACTTGGACTGGGAGCATGTTCCATCAAACAGGTTGCCCCTTAAACTCAAGTAAACATCTCTTGGTGAGAAATCTTTCAGATTGGTGCCTGCCATATTTGTCTCAGGAATCTTGTTCCTAATTTGAGGCTAAATCCAGTCTTTGCCATATTTTGAGCAGACCCCTTGAAATCTATGGGATTTAAAGCCTTAATTTAAATCTCATAAATTTCAGTGGATGGGCTCCAACTGTGGCACTGTTTGGATCCAAACCGCATCCTATAATGTGTCACGCTAGAGGATGCTCTTTGCTTAAATAGGCTAGGAATAAAAATAACTGCTTGCAGCTTCATCTTGTAGAGATATTAATGTCATATAAATTGACTTAGTTCAGTTGCAATCAAAGTACAGCCTGGGACTATCTCAGTAAGTTCAGTGGGGCTGTGACTACAGTTGCAGCCTTAAGATCAGAGTGTCAGGAATTGTGTGCCCTGACCGATGATCCTGAGATCAGGGCAAACCCCATTTATCTTACTATTAGAATTTTCTTCAGCCAGTCAAACAGAACTCTTCATATCAGAGTTAGACTTGAGCTTGTGCTGGCACATTCATGAATGGATGCATAGCTCAGTCAAGCAGCAGCAATTTAAATAAAGATCCACATAGCGGAAGTATAATGGATATACAAATAGAATGCATCTGAATATGGTAAAGAAATGTGCAGATCTCTTTCAAGATCTTGGTGCATACAAATCCCAAATTCTCTCCTGGTTAGATATTCTTCTCATACAACGATTAAATATAGTGAGTGGAATTCTAATTATTTACAGCCACATGAGAATTGTGCCATGGTTTTCAATGGAGCTTGGATTGTATTCAATTAATGTGAAGGATGACTGTCAGGAAAGGAGTCCGGATGGGGAAATCAGAGCCTCCCTCGGCAGTCCGGCTAAAGCCAAGCATTCGCTTTAATTCCGATTTCCCGATTAAGCTAATTGGCACCCCGATCCTAAAGGCGTTTACTTGGAAGTAAAACCTGCACTGTTTTCGGTGGTCTTGCAATAAACGTGCTCAATCCAGCTTAATATTGGCTCCCAAATACTACTTTGCAATCCTGAATGCAACCTTCCTGGAGAGCAAGTCCCCTTGAACGAAGCTCGGGGGACTCCCTTCCTCGCGAGGAAATGCCCTTTGTTTTAGGACTGGGATTGCTTGCATTAGGAGCTCAGTCGGACTCTGGGAATCCGGCTGTCCGAGGCTGAGCGGAGCTGCTTGCCGGAGAGCGCGGGGTGGCTGGCGGAGGGGCGAGAACAACCCAGCCGTCTGCTTAATAATGCCCTCGCTTGCAGTCGGATGATACATCCCGCGTTCGTCTATCTGTCCGGAAAGAAATTAGGACTTCTCAGAGGACTGGAGGAAGCGATTTCTTTCGCAAGTATTTTTCGCTCGCAATTAAAACTGGGCTCCCTCGCGCAGCCTTAGGACATGCCCAAGCGCAGGGCGGAAAAACTTCTCAGCGCCAAACCGCTGCAGCTGGTTCCCTCATCTCTTCGGGGAGAAAAGCCCTGGCAAGCAAAGGGCTGAGGAAAGGCGAGCGGAACTCGTGCATCAGAGGGGCAAACTGCAAACGGCTTATTCAGTAGAGGAAGAGGAGAAGGCCATTCCCTTCTCGGTATTCGCAGTCAGGGGCCCTTCACGCACCACTGTCCGTGGGCTTCTTGATTTGCTTTCAGAATGTGTTGCTTTAGTTATCCTGAAACCTCCAGGCAGACTCGTCCGAGCAGGATCGGTCTCCCCGCCCCCAAAGCTACCTCCCGCTTTTGATCCTCTCCTTTGGAAAACTTTCCTTCAATTTACTCCAACTAACCAGTCCCACCCGCCCCCGAATTTCGTATGTGCTTTCCATTCTGTTCAAATCCTAAAAGCCCGAACTGGAAGCCTCAGAAACCAGTAACGCTGACTTCCCACTGAGGCAGACTTTGTGGGTCTGAACAAAATAACAACGGTATTCCGAGTTTTAAAGGATTCGCATTTGGAGTGTTTGCTGTGTGTGCCTGCGTGTGGGATTTCTTAGTTCCATAAACTATTGCTTCTTACAAACCATGAACGGAGTCTCTAGTGCATTCATGGTAGCAGCTCACTGTATAATAAAAAGCCTGTTAAGATGAAATAAAATTTCCTGCACGCATTTAGAGTGCTTAAATTTCACTGAAGCAAATGGCAAAGTTACAGAGCAATCTTCTGCATGTCAGCTCAGAAGTAAGTCTCATTGAGTTCAACCGGGCATCCTGCCAAGTCAGTGGGCACAGGGTGGCATTCTTAAGCAGTTTACCCACCTGTGGGGTCAGAGTCTGGGGGAACTAAATGAATTCTGAGTCCTCTGCTGCGGATAGTTGTGCTCAGGACTGTGTTGCCAACTACTTTCAATTCCAGCTGGTCAGCTTGTTGGAATGAAGGAAGGTCAGTTATGATGTATACACTAAAACGTACACAGTTACAGATTATGAGACAAGATGGGGGAAAGAAGGAGGGCTGGTGAAAAAAGAGAACATTATAAAAGCAACCGAAGAACAGCAGATGAATTCAAAATTAATGATGGTGAAGATAAAGCAGAGGAAGGCAAAAGAGAGGAAGAGCGAAACTAGGTGTCTTTCTTTGAGCAAATCTGATGTCTGCACACCAAATCAATATACCTGTTTATGAGTCTTTATTTCTTGTCTTTCAGAACCCTTTTTGATCCAATGGCTAGCCAAGCCTTGCCTGAAGCTTGGGGTGCTTACAAACTGAGTGCAAAAGTCACCTGAAAGAAGCCCCAGACATTGCTGGCTGGATCTTTCCTGTGGGCCTGGAGAGAGGGAGCCTTGGAGAGAGCCCAGCTGATTATTTGGGCGGGCTGCCCTTCTCCGAGCTGGAAGTCAAAGCGCATCAAGGTGACCCTGCTTCTCTGCGTCCTGGATGTCGGAGTGCTGCTCCCTATCAGAGACTTCTGTGTGCAAGGTGCTGTGCATTTGAAAGTGAAATCCTTCTGCCTTGGCAGTCCCTGCTACCTGCAAATATAGGGTTAGGCTTATATGTTTTACTTTCTAACTTCCCTTAATCCATTTTTATTTTGTTTTAGTCTTTTAAGAAAGGAATTGAAGTTGGGGGAGATACTTTAGTTTCCCTTTAACATTGCAAGATTATATTATATTACAAATAACATGCACAGAAACACACACAATGTATATGAAAGGGACATTGGGTTGTAGGGGAAATGCAGTGTTTTGTAGCTTTTTATTTTTTGGTTTCTTTTACAATTCCAAAGAATGGAAACTTAAAGACTAATAAAATGACACAGGTCAAAGAAGCATGCCACTTTTTTGTATTTTCTGACAAATCAACTCTCATCAGCTTGCTTCAGTCACCTCTGATTTTTAAGGTAGGGATTGACAAATGTGTTTTGATACAATTATTTCAAAGTCTTACAGCAAACAAACAAAAAATGTGTGTGTGGGGGGGATGTACAGGAAAGCAGAAATATATTGTACCATAACAATATTGTTCAGTGCAGCTTTAGCTCTCCAAGATGCAAACCAAGTCCCATTTGCACCCAAAAAACCTTGTGCAAAGCGGTCTTATCCATGCCTATTCAGAAACAAATTCATTCCTTCATTCCTTCATTCCTTCATACTCTGCCCTTCCACCAGGAAAATAGACCCAAGGCGACAATTTCTGCGCCCCCTTTCTCCCACACATGCCTCCTCACCCCTCCCACTTCCAAGCAGCTCACAGATATAATAAAATGAGAGTGACATGTGCAATAGGATTTATGCAGCCACTGCAGCATAATATCCATCTGATAGTTCTGGTTCGCAGTGAGAATAAAAGTTTGTGTTTGGAGGTATAACTGGTCAAACAGAAAAGAGGTTCAGGCACCCGGTCTCCTAATGCAGCCACTGGCTGGTGGCTGTTTTCCCCTCTCACACTCAAATGGAGTTGTCCCTCATGTTTTTGCACCTGGTTTGTCCTTAGAGAATCGTTTGGCCAATGAGCCGGTGAAAGAGCACTCCAGTTTATAAACCGAATCTCCCTGGCACCTAAGATGGCAGTTCTGAGCAAGCCCATTATAGCCACTGGGACCGGAATCCGAGAGTATATGGAGGTGAGCCTCAAGTGCAGTATGCTGGTCGACCCCTCATCCAGAAGAGGCTGAATTGACAGCACTTGAGAAATAAGATCAGTCATTCAGGTATTCATTGGCTTGAAAGTCAACTGCGTGGTCGCCTTAATGAGCCTGTGAATTCTGCTAGAAGGCTCAGAAGGCTGCGTGACCTGTGAGGATTTGCAAGCTGCGGCCAAGGGGTGCGTGTCCTCCCACTTTCACCCGCTCACCCCAGTTGACAGCACTGTGGTTATTTATTGATTTACCAAGATATTTTTTACTCCGCCTCTCTATTGTAATTCCAGTACTCCCCTAGTCCTAAAGTACCTCAGTGCACCCCCCAGTCCTAAAGCTGGAAAAGTATCCCAAGGCTTTCAGTGGAATTTGGCTTGACTTTGTCTCAGGGTTTGGAATGTTTGTGGATAAAGTTCCTTAGAGCAGGTTCTCCTAAACTGCTGCCTGGTGGTTCCTAGTAGCCATATTTATTGATGTGCAGCTTGCTCTTCTCCCAGGTTTCTTTCATTCATTCCAAACGTGGCTTCTTCGGGAGTTCTTTCAGATGACTCCGGATTTACTTCTGATTATTTGGAGAGTGGGGGAGGAATCCGGAAGTGGAACAGCTTCTTCCCCTTAATTCCCAGCTTATCCAGAGTGTTGGATTTAAGATGCTTGCAGGCTTGTGGTTTGCATCCTTACATTTGCTATATTAAACCGATTAGGAGCAATCCAGCGAAAATGGTTGGCCTAAGCCTCCCAGAAATAAGTTCCACTGAAATAGTTGGGAATTACCCCCAAGTCAACTTATGCTTAGGGTAGGCCTAGAGACTGACAGGTTTATTCTTTGAGGGCTGGTATCGTCTTTCTGCCAAGCTTCCCCCTCACTCTCAATTTGAATTATTAATTTATGCAGAAATCAGGGAGTCTTGAAAGCGAGCTGACATCTGGCTGGCTGCATCCTCCCCACCCCCACCTCAGCAGTTCCAGTTACAGAAATTGACCAAGAATAGAAAGGCCTGTTTGTGGGTGGGTGGTAGAAACAACAGGGCAGGCCTTTGCAATACACCGTCAAGGAACTGAAGCTCTTTACTTTTATAGCCTTGCATTTCCCAGCTTTGCCATTCACTAAAAAGCAGGCCTATTTGATGCACAGACTCAAGATGGGTGAGATCAGACTCCATCACCTTGAAATCAGTCCGCACAGTGAACACACACAGTTTCTACATGTCATGGAATTTTGCCTTTTCCTACCTGCTGCCCTCCTGATATTTTGGACTGCAAATCCCATCAGCCCCAGCCAGCATGGTTGATAATCAGGGATGCTGGGAACGGTTATCTCAAGGGTACCAGATTAGGGAAGGCTGCTCTGGTGGAAGTAAGTTTTGTCTTTTTGAAGAATCCTAACAATGTAATACTGTACATGTCTTCTCCCATAGAGGTCAATGGGACTACCTCCTTGGTAAGTGAATATAGACTGCAGCCTAAAAGAGGACAGGCTATTATTGTTTTTGGGATTTTTCTTTCAGATATATGCAGCTCTGACTGCAATGCCATTTTCAAAACAGATGTTATTTATATGGTTTGTTTCTTTCCCTTACTGTTTTGTTGTCATAATGTATGATATATTTTTTAGAACAACATTTCTAAGTTTGCCTTTAGTTTTTTAAAGCCACACCTTGAAAAATGAACAATTCTGTGCTTTTATTGGTATTTGATTCCTTCCCATCTCCATGCCTAATATTCAGAATTTAACAAAAGGTTGAATAGAGGAACCCTGTCAACACCCAAAAACAAACGTGGCATTTAAAGTGTATATTTCATCGGTTTCTTTCAGGGAACTATTCTGGGTATGAATGCTAAAATCAACAGAAATCAGTGAAGCTTGCATCGAATCTCAATCCTAAGAATATTTATTCAGATATAACTTCTGGTTTCACATTCACTAGTACAGGTGTTTTGAGATTACAGCTTTACATTCTGAGAATTGCATCCAAGTAAAGAAATGCAGCATGGGAGACTTCGGCTGGCTGCTGTCCAAGTGCGCACTGGTCGGGAAGTTAACACAAATAGGACTTACTTCTGCGTAAACAGCCATGATGATTGTGGTTGTGCTGGCCATCGACAGCCCTGGAAGAAAACATATTTTCAATTTACCAGCACTTCGTCTGACCAAGAGGAAGCATCAGCCTATGTATTGTCCCAAAGTAAACACATTGCTTTCCAGTAGAATGTACTTCCCTGGGTGCTGTTTCAGGATGGACTGCGCAGTCCCAGTTCGGCCAATGGACTGGAACATCTCCGAGGCGAGTTCCTTGGCTTGGCTGGCTTTTGCCTTGGCAGTCGCCGCCGCCGCCGCCGAGCAGAATGCTGCATCCTTCTGTTTGGGAGCTGCCGCAGAGGTAGTGGGGGAACTAAAGCCCATGTAGAAAGAAACCCCAGAGCGTCCGGCCTGCTTACAGTCATCAGCCGATCTCCGCGAAGGAGATAATCAGACTCTAGCGCAGCCTGGTGCCCTTCAGACCTTTTGGAGGACAACTCCAAACATTCCTGACCTTTACCTTTGCTGACTGCAGAAGACGGGAGGTGAGGTCCCAAACATCCGGAGAGCACCAGGTTGGAGAAGGCACTTTGTAATCTCGATGGACAATACAGCGGAGTGAGCCTGCTTAGAATCGGCCCGTAAGGCAGTGGTTTCAAACGCAGTCAGGGGGACGTGGACTGCTTGCTTAGAGTCTGGGGTTAAAGGACGCCACAAGTTACGGCTCCGTCAGAGTTCTCGGACGCGGGCTTTCTGAAACATGTAAAACAACCCGCTGCCTGCCCTGCGGACCAAAGGAGGGCCCCTTTCTCAGGGGTGATCTCCTTGCGAGGCGCTACCCAGCCCTTTGGGTCAAGAGTCAATGGCACGGGGCTCGCCTGGTGACCTCAGGCCAGTCTGCCTTTCTTAGCCTAACCTGCCTCCCAAGGAGGATAAACTGTAAAGCGGAGGAAATGCAGCCTGCAGCCTCGAGTGCCCTCTGCGAACCAAGGGAGCCGCCCTTGTCCTTGGCTTTCGTGCGTCCAGGATAAAACGGGTGTGGGGGATCCTGTACGCTACCTTGAGCATAGCAGGGAACCGCGGGCTAAGCAATGAAACGATCCCCGGGTAAAGAGGGCATCGCTTCGTCTGTTTCAAGGTCTGCCATAGGATAGCGTAAACATGGAGTATCGGCCCCATTCTAGCACCCGGCTCTAGGCTTATAAGGGCTGATTTTTATTCAGTGCTGGCAGGAACACAGGCAGGTGAGGCAGCCTCTGCGGAGGTGCGCGGCACCGGCTCCTTTGCAGTCCTGGAGACAGTTGCGCACGGCCAGCTTTTATGAAAGCAATACCCCCTTGTGGTTGCAGTGCAAATGGAAGATTGCCTCCACCTTCCTCTGCCAGCGTCACTGCGGCTGTAAGAGCTGCACGGCAGCAGAAATGCTGCCCCCCCCAGCCCCCCCCCCACCCGCACCCCGCTCGTGGCATCTCCTTGGCGCTCAGGTCCTCACGACCCCGGAACTGCAGAAGGCGATAGGGCCGCGACCAGAAAAGGAAGAGAGGGCAATCCTAGCTGGAGCTATCGAATTGCCCCGTGGATCGAACAAGGCCCGGGTGGTGGGATCCAGTGCAAAACGTGGGGAATCGCCAGAGTTGGAGACGGTGTTCTGTGTGGAAATACGGCGAAGCTATTGTTGGCTGGGGATTACGGGAGGTCGGTGGCTGTTAAGCTGTTGGGGAAGGCGCTTTAACATGCATGACATGTTGTCGAGGGAATCATTTCCTCGATTTGGAAAACTTGCCCAGGTGGTTTCACGTTTTATTAGTTGCCTTTAAAGACCGGTCGAGTTTAGGAGTCAGACTACCAAATATGGGGCGCGATTGAGTCAGAAACGAGCATTTTTTCCGTGTTATTTTTTTACAGAATTGCTAAGCACCTGCCTAAATTTCTACCGGAGTTGCCCCGGGTGATTAGCTAGCTCATTTTTAAGTGCATTTGTCTTGTGACGTCAGATGAGGTCAGTCTCTTCTGGATCCAAGCCGGGCTTCTGGAACGTGGGGAACCAAATCCTAAGATAGTCAAATCTCAACGCGTGTTGAATTCATCTGGTCGCTTGCTGAGCGTAGTCCTATGCACGTTTACTCAGAACCAAGTCCCATTGAGTTCAATGGGGCTTATTCCCAGGAAGCCGATCGGGGATTGCAGTTTCAGGACTGGTCTGCCTGCCACAACATAGGATTTTTACCAAGTAAAGTAAGGGGGAAAAAAAGTTGGATTTTAAGCTAAAGTGAACGACTTTTGCAAAAGTTGTGTATAATGCGCAACACTCACACCGTGCCAGAAAGGTGTCGGTGTGCATGTATTTGTATATTCAACCTCCCCTCCTCCCCCCCCTTTCCCTCCCCTTTCCCTCCCTCTGTATCTAAACGTAATTGATCTGGCTGAGTGAGGCCGTTTTGGTAATTTGGATATACCAAGTCTCCAGATAATGACATATAATCAGACTTCAGGTCACTTGGTCATTCTCTCATGACAAACCCCTCCTGCGCTCTCTGATCTGCTTTCAAACTAAATTTCACACAAACAAATAAAGCAAGACAGGAGCAAATTCTTAGAGCACACACACGCCCGGGCATAGAGGGTATTGGGGTGGGGGAGAGGAAGAAATATTAGGAAACTCTGCTAATAGAGCATAGTAAACATGCTCTCTGATGGGTTGGGGGTGGGGGAATATACCGGGTTTAGGAAAGAACATCTTATCATGAAGAGAGTCATTGTGTACAAAAGGCGAAGGGGAAAAATGTTCTGGCTCATGTTAAAAATGACATAAATTAAAATAAAAATAATTACAAACAGAAAATGTCATAACATAAACACAGGGGGCTTACTGGAAAAGCGGGCAGGCAGCAGACGTGTTGGGAGACCTTCCCTTCTCCGCGCTCGCCTGCGCGTCCTCCTTTCCGGCCGCTGGGAGCGAACGGCTGAGCCCGCCGAGCGCAGCCGGGCAGATGCTGCTGGAGACGAAACCCGCATTTATTTTATGTATTCGCAGCTGGTGCGTGTGGAAACTGCCTGCTGGGGGAGCGACTGCCCCTTTGCCCCTCCTCCTCCTCCTCCTCCGACCTGGCCCTGGCCCTGGCCCTGGCCCAAACACACGTAGCGTGTAGAAGCCCAGGCTTCATGTGTGCGGGGAATAAGAATAAGAAAGGAAGTGCGTGGGAGATCGGCACAATCATGGCTACAAACAGCACACTGGGAAAACGGCCTTTGTGGTCCTTTATGGCTGTGGGTGAGATTCTGTACCCCCCACCTCTAAGGAAGCCTCACTGAAAAGAATGGGACTTACTTCGGAGCAGATACGTATAAGACTAGACTCCATGTTACATTGCATACGATTATACCCTATATTGCAGGACTGAAAGCCAGCATGGCACAGTGCTTAGAGTGTTGGTCTGGAAGGGGAGAGATCTGGGTTCAAGTCCCGTCCTGGCCTCGAAGCTCGCGGGATGACTTGGGTTAGTCACTGCCTTTCAGCCTAAGCTACCTCAAAGGGTTGTTCTGAAATAAAATGAGCAGAAGACGATCGTGTAAGTTGCCCTGGGTTCCTTGCGAAAGGGAAAAAGGTGTGATATAAATTGAACAATAGCACTGTGGCGATCCTAAATGCATCTGTTCAGAACTAACCAAGGCTGCGATCAGCGCACAGTTGTCCAGGCACTCATTCAGTGGGGCTTCTTTCTGAGCAGACGCAGTCACATTTGCCTGGAAGTAAGCGCCAGTATATGCAGTACGTGTCACATCTGAATAAGCATCTAAAGGAATGGACTGATACTGCTGCATCCTAGCATGAGTTAACCCGGGAAATAACTCACTTTGTCAGGTGATCATACACCACACAGGGTGCGACAAGGTGAGAAACGAATGGTCCCAAACTGAAATTCGGAATGGCATAGCACCGCCTTTCTCAAGGTGGTGTCCTCCAGATGTGTCAATGGGACTTGAAGTCCTACACATCTGGAGAACACTACCTCCAGGAAGACTGACAACGCATCAGTAATCAAGACTGAGATTACATATATTTATATTCAAAATATTAGATATAAGTGTCCTTACAACATGATTTCTCATGTTGCCTCTTCATTTTGTGTAGAGACTCTTTTCAAATGGTTGTGAATTAAAATTCTAGGGGAATGAAAACTTAAAACGAAACATGCTTTTTGGATTGTGCCTTAATTTAATTTAATAAATCGATAGATGTTCTCATTGCTGACAACGTCTGAGCTCATGTAATTTTACTATTCTGATAACTCTCCCTTTTTGCTCATTACAGCATCTCCACATGGTCCAAACCAGATGGAAGGGGTTTAAACAAAATAGGCATTAAGGGTGTAATCCTTTGCATGATTAAACAGGAAAAAATGCCTCACAATTCCCAATGCTGGGACCTGTTGATTTTTTTTTTCTGTCTACACTTGCACAGGATTGGGTCTTAACTCACTTTGTAACACATGACATCACAATTCTGAGGATACAGCATGGAAAGAAGTCTCATGACTTACAATCACAGATTTAGGGTGCAGACATATACTTTGCTATGGAAAAGCAAATTATAGAAATGAATCCTAAGGTTCATAAGTCTTCCACTACTAGAGGAAAAAGCTGAAACGAAACAATCCTTACAATGTCATGAGCCCACAGCCACAAATAATACAAAAGAGAGATTCGGATGACATACACTGTTCAGGCTGCTAAGTTCCAGAGAATAGCATCCCCACCTGAGGGAGAGCAGGATCAACATGTTCTTGATTGAAATAGACCAGGTTTGCTCCGATAGACAATGCCAGGGCACGCCTATGTCTGCCTGCTCAGAAGCCAGCCCCATCTGATTCAGTGGGACTCACGCCTGGGTAGGTATTAGAGGATTATAAACTTAGTAGGCTGTTCTGCCTGCTTATGTTTGGTTACCCCTGAAAGAGAACCTATTTTGCTCCTACCGGTGAACTGCTTCTGCCAACGCTGACAAGTAAAGAAAGAAGTAGAATTCGGATTGCTGTGGTGGGCCCAGAGAGCTGTGCCCATCGGGTGGTACAGACATGCTTGAGATAAAGAAATATGTAGCAAAGGCCAGGGGAAATCTCTTTTGAATGGCAGTGCATTCAATGCAAAGGCAGAATGACTGTGGTACTTCCCACACCCTGGCTTACAAAACTCCATCCGAAATATTACCGCTTCATATCATATCTGCGCGAACAGCGCAGCCTCAGACTACACTTCCTGTAAATTGAACTACTGTGTCTTGTCAGAGCCAAGGAGCGGCAGGTTTTTTCCGCAGAGAGACGCATGCCTAGTCAGAGATTCTGATAGCGCTTCCCCCGTTTCAACCATTCGAGCAACGTCGAAACCCTAACAGCAGCCCCCTGTGTACGCATCAGGAACAGGTCCCATCGAACTCAATGGGGTTGACTACCCGGCACTTTCCTGTGTCCTGGTGTATTTTGGATTTATGACGCTGTGCGCAGAGTCTCTCTCATCGGATTAGAGCAGTCGGTGGCGCAATCCCTTATCTGCTAATTCAGAAGGAATTCCTATCGAGTTCAGTGGGGTTCCTTCCAAGCACATGGGTACAGCCCAAGGTTTAATGTACATTTACACTGACAGGAAGGTTTAAAAGACTCTAAAGGCCAACCGCGAGGAGGAGGAGGAAGGGGAAAGTTACTCGATTAAAGACTGCGATCCTAAAGACAGCTAGAGGTCAATTCGCGAAATAAAGGATTGTGGATTAGCTGGTTGCACGGAAGCCATTCAAGAGCAAGTAGTCTGAAGAAGCTGGGCACCGAACTACCTTTAGGTGGCAATGCTGCAACCTCACCGGAGAGATCATCCTGTTGCATGTCAATGGGCTTACTTTCCAGTAGAAATGCACTGAGAGATGACGAGGTGTCGGGACTGGTGCGCTGAGCTGCACCGTCTCTGCAGCGGGCCAAGCGCTTGCTTGCCGCTAGAAGAATCCTAAATGGGAATCGATAGTCAGGTTAATCGTCGTAAAACGACACGTTCCGTTTGATCATCCTTCTTATCAGAGCGATAAGCGAACAAAGCCCGCCGTTCCCCTTGATGGATTCAAAATACACTAGGAGACAGGAAAGGGACTTCCGGTGCAACCTTATACCCATTTACCCGGGGCTAAACCCCACTGAACCCCATAGGGCTTGCTTCTGAGTAGATGGATAGACAGAGCATGCTATTAGCGTTCGGACATTCCTGAAATTGTTGGAAAATAAGTCAGGGAGTGAATGACCTCCGACGGGAAAAAGCTCCCAGCACGCATTGGTATAGGACGGAGTGGCTTCTTGGGAAATAACCTCCTTCAAACCGTGTTTCCTTGCCGAGGTGGCGCGAGCATCTTCACAAGATCAGAACTCCTTATTTTGAAGAGTTACTTCGAAATGCTCACCACGGAACTGGCTGCTGCCCTGAGTGGAAGTAAATCAGCAACATACAGTAAAAACGCAGGAGGCATGTTCTAAATAAAGTGACCTCGATTAATTGTTCCAACCCTTTCTCAGCGTTCAGCTGCACCCGCCCTAAGCACTCTGATAAAAACAAGCATCACCCAAACTTCTTAATGATTTCTGTGTTTATTTGTTTTATTATATTTATATAGCCAAGGTGGCTTGCATAGATCTCCTCCTCTTCTCAAGCTTATCCTCACAACAACCCTGTGAGGCAGGTTGGGCTAAGAGTCCATGACTGTCCAGTTGGAAGAAAGACTGTAGTGTCATTTCAACTTTAGCATTGCTGTTATAAACCCTGCTTGGCCCTCCAATACCCACTCCTTGAAAGAATGCCAACCATCTACCAGTAAATCCATCCCTTCACAATAGAAACAGAGTAAGGGAACCTGAATGCAAGATCAAACACTATACTTTTAGGTGAAGAGGTGAGGAGGGATGAGTTTTGTGTTTAAGTTCTTCAGAGACACCCAAGGATGCTTAAACAAATCTGGAAGTATTACCCCTCTAGTACTAGATGTATGGAGACAGGTGAGGTATGGCTACTCATTGGTGTGGGGAATTCTAGGTGTGTACTTCTTTCATCCTACTGGGGCACAGGGAGCTGCCTCCTAAGTCAGACCGTTGGCTCATTACCTCCTGACTTGAGAAGGTCTTGCAGATTCTGGATGGAGAAGAGCTATACTGGAGCTTTTGCAGATTGTATGTTCTACAAGAAACTCTGGCCTTCTCTATATGTCTAAGAAACAGCAATGCGTCTGACGGCAGCCTAAAAACTAAGACTGAAATCCTATACACATTTACCTCACTAAAATGCACATTCACTTACTTTTGAGCGGAAATAGATGGGACTGTGCTAGAAGAAAGTTTATGCCACAGTAAGAGTGCAATCTTACTCTCAAATGAATGATGAAGAATTATACTTCAAACTCTCTGTATATGTTAACATATCTTTAACCCCTTTCCTGGGAGTATGTCCCATTGAACACAATAATACTTATTTCTGAATATAGGATTGCCCCAGAAATGTGTTTAAGGCAGTCTTCTCCAACATGGGACCCTCCAGAGGTGTTGGACTACATCCCCCAGCACCCCCAGCTAGGCACGTCAGGAAGGGAAGGTATCGGGTAGGGCTGCTTTAAGTGGGCGCAAAACACCCAGTTGATTCCGCTGCAGTTAACTCCACAGCTCCCCTCTGACGGGTCTTGTGTATTCCAAAGCAGAGGGAAGGCGTTGAAGTCCAATCCAGATTTTAAAAACCCTTTACATGACCCTCCCGCCCTGATAGGGTCTCAATCTAGACTAGGCATAGATGCTAAACCAAGAATATGGAGCCAGGTATCCTGTCTATATTTTGGACTGCACCTCTCATAATCCCTTCTGGCTGGCGAGGGCTGATGAAAGCTGCAGTCTAAAACATCTGTATGGCACCAAGCTGCCTACCACATGAGAGACACACGCTTGAAGGAATGCCTGCTCTGCTTCTCAGCCAGGCCCCGCGCTCTTCCACACCCTCACGTTATCTAGGCGCGCAAGGAATGAGCACCAGGCTCCTGTTGCTGAGGGCCTGTTAATCCCTCCTGCAGTCTCCACACAGTCAGAAACATTCTCAGGCAGCTGATCCAACTGGGCGGCTTAGCTGGGTCTGTGCGGAGCAGGATCTGAGAGGTGCCCGGTATTGGTTAGTATTCTGCACAAACAAGCGGAGAAGCCCTTTCAGCCAGGAATGTGTCCCTGCAGCCAGTCAAACATTCTTCCCGACACGATCTGAATGTGTGCACTGCACGTAGTGGCCAATGTGCCTGTGTTAGCACATGCCGAGGCATAGTCACTCAGATGGCATCCTGAGTGAACCAACATTTGGGCAGTAATGAGGGAGAGAGGTATTTGCAGTCAAACTGTAACCCAGCATGCTTTGTTTTTGCAATACAAATCCACTGTAGAAATAATCTTATTAAGCCTACTGTATGAAAACTCCCTTAAAATGAATATATCTCTGACCTATTGTAGATCTTGTATTTTCATTAATGATACAGGAAATGGTGTGCATGTATATGTGTAGGGGACTCCCCTATTTTAAGTATCCCTTGCGCAATCCGGCTTAGGTTTTGTATCTGAATTATAGAAATGAGGAAATATACCCCCTCCCCTCCAAAAAAGCCCAATTTATGAACCGTTTAATCCAATACACATTTATTGCACGGAATGCAAAAAGTTGCACGGAATGCAAAAACACTTACTCTCTTGTAAGTGTGTAGGACTAAGCAGGTTCTTGCCAGCTTCAGTTATGCCAAAACACTGCAGCGCTATAAGGACTTACAAGGAGATAGGCCATCCTTGGATACAAAGGTGGAAGTAAGTCCAGGATACAATGGTTCTGGAGTCAGTCTCATTGAACTTGATGATATTTTTGTCTGAGTAGTCATGGAATTGAGCTATTGAAACTAGGCATTTAGATTTCAGCTACAGTGGTTCATCTACAGTGAAAAAAGATTTTTTCTCTTTTAATATAGAAGATTGATTGCAATGGTGATGATTTGTTATTTTAAACTTTGCTGCATTCTACTATTTTTATTGAATGTTTTTTCGTTGCACATCTGATAGAGCAATTCTTATATGAAAATATCAGTCCCTAGAACTCTATTTGAATCTTGTCTGGTTTCAGCAGCATTACTTCCATATAAAATTGGTTAGGACTGCAAATATAGTTTATATAACTCTTGGTGATACTTGCCCAGCCTATCTTCTAATTTTATGCTTGTTATAAAACTAAGCAACATTATTAAGTTGTTCTAACTTTGAAATACAGTGCCCAAGACAAAGGGATCTTTGACAAAGCATCAGTATAGCAGAAAGGATAGGGAAATGGAATAATGAGAAACATAAAGGTAACTGTTTATTATTATAAAGGAGGAAGAGGAAGAAAAAATGCATTGCCTTCTGAATACATTGTTTTTATACTTTTATTCAACACATCAGGTATAGAGCAGTAAATAAATAAAATAATGCAGAAAACAAGATGATAGCAAGGGTAGTGGGATCTTTGCAATAAAGTAGAACAAAAACGACTGTGCCCTGCAGATACGTCAGACTTTCTTCGGAGCTAGGTAGATCAAGAGAATGGGTACCGGGGAAAATAAAGGTGGAGGGCAAGAGGGATGAAGCGTGTTTGGCGGGCAAGCGGGACTTGGCAAGAAGGTGGAGTGCTGTTTTTGGTGAACCCTCGTGG